ATACTGAATATCAGAATTCATTTATATTTTGCAGAAATTGTAGCAAAACAGTCTTGAGGCAGAAAGCCATTCATTGTGTGACCAGCTTCATGTCACTGTTGCAAATGCCAGCAAAAGTGAGAGAGTGGAACAAAGGCAACCAAAGGTGGGGGCAGGATGAGGGACAACATCTCAAAATCTGACATCTGAAAAATGAGCTGAAATGAAAGTTTGGATGCGAAACCAAATGAAATTTTTTTTTCCATTTCGTTCCAAAGTGCCTCACCAATATCTCACCATTGCCCCCGAAATGGCCCACCCGATACCCTCGGGACCTCCCACAGACAGTTCCGACCCAAAAAGACAAGGTATCCGACTGAAAACAGTTCACATGACATGAACTCTGCTTCACAGGAAACCTGTTTGATATGAAAAATTTGACTGCAAAAGTCTCCAGAGATCATCAAACCTGGAGATGAAAAGCAGAGGAAAACTCTTCCACCCAGAGGGAAAAGAAAAAAAATCAGGGCTCACCCAGGGTCTGAAATACATGAACATTTGAAGGATGCGAATGGCTGGTTAATTGTGGGGAACTTCTACATTCTCCCCATTTGCATGGCAGCGGGTGGGAAGGTGTTTCTTCTCTCTGTTCTTTCCCTTTCAGTGAAGGAAGGGGAACGTGTGGGACAGCAACACGTGACCGTGCTGGGGCGGGGGGTGGAGGGAGGGGAAGATTCCCATTCAGCTGCGCTCTGCTCATTCCGCTAGTCCGGCTGGCTGCCTTGGGGGGAGTTACGGACCCAGGACAGAAGCGGTGGCCTTGAATAGAGCAATGCACAGTCCCTCTGTGAGATTGTGGAGCTGTGCCCGGACTGTAACACCAGGCTAATGCCAGCTGGTAGTCCCTGCAACACAAGAGCTATGTGGCAGGTGAAGGATATTTGAGGGGGCAGAAACTAAGCTGTGGGGAAGTCTTGTCTGGTGAAGGGCTCGGCACGTAGGGCCCTGCATTCTGCCATGAAGAAACACAATCCCAGCTGGATTTAGGAAGGCAGGATGGTATCGTCCCAGCTAGACACTGCGCAGGCACACAGAGGGTTAGTGCTCCGGTCCTGGATAAAAAAAATCGGAGGCGTTCACCAACTTGGAAGATCATGGGACCGTGGAGTTTTATGATTTGTCTGATGTTACGCAGAGGCACCAGCACGCCAATAGGCAGAGCCTTTGCTCAACAAAGCCCGGTATAAACACCCCCCCTGACGTCAGAACGGGGTGCAGTCACCGAAGAGAAGAGGATCCAAGCAGGCAGAAAGGTAAGGAAGGGGGAATGGGATCATTTCACAGCTCTTTTAGTCACTCAGGAGAAGACAGGCCAACAGCTCTGGGCCCCAGGAGAGCCCAAAAGACAGAGCCCATGGGTCTGCTTCAGTGTTGGGGTGTTGGGCATTGCTGAATAAATTGACTCCACTGCTCCGATCTGGGGAGGTGCTGGGGTGGATTCTGGGCTGCATGAATCTGTGTTTGATCTGCGGTGGCAGGGGTGGGTTGCATTTACACTGGGCTCCAACTGGTCTGTCCTGGAGCAGGATGGCAGTCAGGACGGTGGCCAGGCAGTCGGCATTCAGGATGACAGATCCCAGGGGCTAAATACTCGTCTCTATTATGATATAGCAGGCACGCCCAAGTCGGGAGGGGAATGATCAGGGTTTATACTTAGGTAGCGCAGATTAAAGCAAGGCGTGACTCCACTGGATCACTCTGGATTTACCCTGAGGGAATGGAGGTCCAAGTGTGGATTCCCCTGGGTTTTTTCAAGGGGGAAGGTGGGGGGCTCCATTGAGTCAATCAGCTGAAGAGGTGGCTCACTCTAGGGGTTGGCTTTCAGAGACACAAGCATAACTCCCACAAAAATCACACCTCCACTCTGTTTTCACTGGTTTTCCAATCCTCAGTTGTGAGCATTTGAATTCTCAAGCACAGAAAGGGCACAAAAGGACTGTAATGAGTTAATTGCCCTTGCAAGGCCTTTGTGCAGGCAGATTTGCCCTTCCAGGCCCCACCGTGAGATATGTGGAGTGAAAATAAGTGAGCAAAACAACACCCATTTTCTCCATCTTGTTCCCAGCCCTGAGAGATCTCTTCCTTCTGCAAACTGAACATCCCCTGCCTCTGGCCCACCTGCCATGGCTCCAGCAAGCTGCAGACTGAGAGAGGAGTGCCCAGAATGTGCCATCACAGCTGGGGCACGGTCTCTGGTGTCTCTTGCTGAATGCCTGAAGCGTGCCCCAGGGGGAACAGGAGTGCCTCAGGACATGCAAAGACATATTGTCTGTGCCTCCGAGAAGCTGCAGACCACAGAGAAGAAGTCCAAAGAGCACCTGGATACCTTGAAAGCCCAGAACAAGGAGCTACTGCTCCAGATGAAAAGGCTGGAGGATGAAAAGAGGAAGAAGGAAACAAACATCAGTCAGCTGAACATCAAGTTGGCATCGGCTGAGAGGACAATGGAGAAAGCCCAGAGCATGGTGGACACAGCTGAGCAGCACCTTTACAAACTTAGGGAGCAGCTGAGGAAAGTGAAGCAGAAGGAGAAATGTGAGACAATCCTAAGGAACATCATCCTGGGGGTCTTGCTTATTTACACTGTCATCGGTAAGTATTGAGCACAGCTGGGATGTGGGCTTCCCATGGGGTGGTGGTGCATCTCCTGCATCTGGTAGCACACTGGCTGTGGCACTGGCCTAGAGGTTAATGTAGCTTGCTCACCTGAACTATCACACCAAGGTGGGCAGCCAAAGCTCAAATGAGTTCAATGGCCAGGCATCGTAGAGAACATGCAACACTTACCCACCAGTGAGTTATAGGTGTTGTGTGGGCTCCCACAGACAGTTTCCAGACAGAAGAGGTGGCCAGGGTGGGAGGCCTAGGAGAAAGATGTTGCTCAGAGTTAAAAACAAGTATCATCCCTGATTCTACTTCTGGGAATGGGCTGATCTAGAGGCGACTGAATCCCTACAAATTCAATTCCCCCTCATAACTTTATTGAAGCTCTCTGAGATCAATAGATCAGGCCCTTTGCCTAGGTTTGGAGTATCAGAGGAGTCTCTGGCAGTCACGTGTCTGCCCCACAAGTGTCTGCTGCACCCATCTCTCTGCCTCCAGCAGTGAATCTGCTCTCTGTTACCCCACTGGCACTAAACCATAGTTTGGCTGTTTCTGCAGTGAATTTCCCCACCTGCCACTTCCACCCTTTCGTTTGCAACCTCAGCAAAGTTACCCAGGGCTGTACAGAGATGGAGCTGCCCTTATCCTATGAGAAGAGGCTCCCCTCCATATCAGGAGGGCACATAGTGATAGAGGCTTGGGGAAGACAGTCTGTCAGGGTGGGTATTGAACCATGAGACACCTCTTGAGTTGTGAGTGTCTGCTGCCTGAGGGCAAATAAGGCTTCTGCTAGCCATACTGGGTCTGAACATGTTTTAAATCACCATATTTACTTGTATTGCATACTACATAAAACTTTTCCCCAAAAATTAGCTTTTCAAAATTGATGCGTGTGTCTTTCATGGGGAAGATGATTTTCTGCCTGGAATAGAAGCAGTGGCATTTCTATTCAGGCAGCACTGAGGGAGCCAATTGGCTTCATGGCACCATTAGAACCAGCTTGTTTTCTGCTGTTCCCTTCACTCAACAGGTGTTAATAACCCTCTCTCCTTTTTAATGGTCCTGATGTTCCATGAATCAAACTAGCCTTTCTTCAGCTTTTTTGCTAAATAAGTTGCAGTGTAGCTCCTCCTGGTCTCCGTTCTCCTATTTCACATCCCAGCAGCCTGTTTTTAGCTCTTTTCAACATCACAAGTCTGCCCATAGAGTCCAGTCTTTAGCAGCAGTTAGAGTTTCAGCTTTTGGCAGAGCAGCCAAGAGCTGACAGATTCAGCCATGAAAGAGTTAAAACTGCAGCTTTGGCCTCAACAGGAGTAAGAGTGATTAGGCTTTGCCCCTGCTGTATGCAATTCTTCCTTTCTCCACAACTCAGAAAAAAAAAATCTTTATTCTGCCTTACAAAAAAACCAGAGTGTATGTCCTATTTAGAGACATGAGAAAATGTGGTAATATACTAAAATGACAGTTTTGATAAAAAGACATTTCCACAGAATGGCTCAGCTTTTCCTAAGAAAAAGTTAATATTCAGAACTAGCAAAATATAAAAGATTTTGAATGATTTTGTGAACCTGAACTACTCTCCAGGGGCCTTGGGCTTTGATTCTTCTATGCTAGTCTGCTAAGACAGAGACCACCTCTCTTGATGCCCTACCTCCACATCTTGGTGAGGGAGAAATGTGCACCCCAGCTGCATCTTTGAAGTTGTAGTCTGGCTAGGGAGGCTGCCTTATCAGGAAGAAGGATACTACAAGACAACTGAGCTACAGGCATGAGTGGATCTAGGATTTTAAAGAAGGGGGATGAAGATGGTGTGGTGCATCACCACATACAAATACATGACACACATTTTTCTGCAGCTAAAGAGAAACTAGATGTGTTACCAATATGCTAGGACCCTAGAGTTATATTTTGCAATTTAAGATTAAAGCCAAAACAAATATTACTTTACTGGAATTTGCTCTTATTTGCTAGATTATATATTAAGTTTAAAAAGCACAGGGCTGGAAATGGATTCAGGAGGCCATGAAAGCAGGTTCATCCCTTATTAAACCATCCCATGTGTTTGTCTAACCTACTCTTAATCCCCAAAGCTAGTGAAAAAACAGAAAGTGTTTCATCAGTCCTGCAGTTATTCTAGTTCAATGTGCAGGTCTTACTCAGATTCATAAAACACAGTCTAGTCTTCCTGAGCTTCTTGACAGAGCCTCCAATACTTCACCATTAGCCGTTTCTACACCTGAGTTAAGTTTTCTAGGTAGAACTTAAAATAGTCTACAAGACTGTGAAATAGTCAGAAAGAGATTTCCAGGAATGGCTGACAGGCAGCAACATTGCAGAAAAAAGGATAATTTGACATGTGGAATATCAAAACCATTAAAAAGGAGAGAGGGTCATTCATACCTATGAAGTGGAGAGGGATAAGCAGGAATCAGGTATATTATAGTGAGTCGTGAAGTTAATTGACTCCCTCAGTGCTATCTAAATAGACAAAATGTTCCTGTCGCTCCCAGGCAGCTGGTTTTGAAAGTCCAGGTGGAGCAGGAATCAAAGTGGGTGCAACTGCAGCATTGAAGCATCCCTCAATCCACCCTTTGCTACACATCCTAGCAATCTCCCCTCCCCTGGCCCCACTCCTCCACCGAAAATGTTTCCACACAGTAGATTGGGTGTTTTATAAGACATGGGTCAATTAAGTAAAATCCTGTTTCTTGTCTCAACATAGTTTCCATAGAATACATTAGAGATGCCCTCAAACTGAGCCGGGAGAACCAGTCCGCCATCTCACTGAGCGTCTTGGCTGCGATTTGTCAGGCATCTCTGTACATGACTCAGAAAGCGGTGCAGGAGCTGGAGGCATCCATCCGTCGCTCAGAAGACAAGGCGTCTGAATTCAAACAGGAAGTTTATGCCTACAAGAAGCAGAATGAAGAAATCAGAGAGAAGATCAACGAAGACAACAGCGCCCATCAGAGAATCAGTGAAGAGATGGACCGTGGAAGAGATAAGCTTTTGGAGGTGAACAAGGAAGAAGAAGAGGTGAGAAGATACCACAGCCCCCTGAATCGGCTGGTTAAGATGGTCAACAGCATCAAGAATGTCTCAGACCATGATGATATCTGGGACATTTTGAAAATGGTTTCACAGTCCTTGATGCAGCTGGGAAAGGAAGGAGCCACAAACTTCGGGTGCTCTGCTGAAGAAGAAAAAAACAACCAGGTGAGAAGGTTAAAAGGCATCATGGACAGTCCTTGGTAGGTGATAGCCATAGGGCCAGGCCTGCAAATGCAAGGGGAAGTCACGCAAGCATTCCAACAGCATGATTCCTGGAAGTCTTTCAAGGTCAAGGTCTAGGATTGTCAGAAGAAAAGAACTAAAGTATCAGACCATGGTCTTGAACCTGGAGGCCTTCAGTTTATTCAGCACAGCCACTTCTCCTAATCTGCCACCTCCTCAGCTGAACTTCTGTGTAGACACAGGTGGTCAGAACCTGATATCTTAACCTAGCGCCCTGCCCACTCCCTGCAAGTGGTGTTGCCAACCAGGGTCAGCCAACTCTATCCCCCTTTCTATAAAAACCCCTGACCCAGAAGTGGAAGTGCCTCAGCAAAAGGTTCAATCTTGTGTTCAGGCTGTCTCACTTCTGGGTTGTGCTTCTACTTGCTCTGATGGATTTCCCAAACACCCAACCCAACATGTCCATGGCCCCTGGGTTTGGCATGACCCTTTGGCTCCCTAGCCCAACTCTGTTTTGGTCTCCCTGGCTGGTCTCCTGACCCCATGCTCTTCCCAACTCTCTGCATCTCTGATTCAGTTCCCCAGAGAGAGCTTCTGGCTCCCCTACATGAACTGTGCACATTCCCCTCAGATCTTAGTTGCTTCTTCTGACCCTGGGTGACCCTCAGACCTGTCTCCCCATGACCCAGCATGACAGAAAGACCTGAAAACCTCATCCACCAGGGGGTTCTCATTGCCATCAAGAGAAGATAAACAGTCCACCAGATACATAAGCATCATAGAGAAATAGGGCTAGAAGGGCACTAGGGGGTCCTCTAGGCCAGTGTTTCTCAGCCCGTGGGTTGTGACCCAAAAGTGGATCACAAGAATATTTGAAAGGGTCATGAGCAAGTCCCATAAAGATGTAGGAAAGCATGGGTTTCCCCTTGCAGGCTTATAGCATTCCAGCCTGCAAGGAGCTGCTTCGGGCAAATTGGAGGCAGTGGGCACATGTCCATCTGTGCATACCCCGCCCCCGCCCCACACACACACACACACACACACACACACACACACACACACACACACACAC